TATATTTTAGTTGGGAAAAATAAACTATTGAAAAAGTTGCAAATAAAGTTGACGTGCTCACCCAAAATTGGTAATCGATTCATTGTACATAGTGTCTGAGCTCCTGTGAATATAACCACAGTAGGCAATAGAGCACAAAACAGAGCCTCTCAGAGCTGTTAGAACTACTCCAACTCCCACTGCTCTACTCCAACTCCCACAAAACGCTAGTATTCAACAGCCAATAGTCACATCAAAGTCACAGGTCATAAAACCATTAACAATATATTAATAAATCAATTAAAATAGAAGCAAAAATTAACAAAAATCGCATTTAAAGAAAATTGCACAAACAATACCTCCTTAGGACAATCGTGTTCTTCCACTATATATCTGGGAGAATGGCACATTAGTCCGTGCAAATCAATTTGAATTTGATCACTCGTATACAAAAAAAGCAACAAGTCACTTATATTCACATATACTGCACATTTGACTTAAAAAAATGTATGCAGGTATTATTATTAAAATAAATGATGATAGTAAAAAAAATAACTATAATATAAACGCAATCTGAATGATGGCTTACTATTCCATCAGATATATATTTGCAGATTGGGTACATACATTATTGTAGTAGGAAAGACCTTGTTAGAGTTCAAATCTCTGTGTAGACTAAATAAAAGTTGGTTTTGCAAGACAGGTGCTCTTTAAATTCTAGCAAAAGTTTAACCACACTAATCATGTGAAAATCTAAAAGCTTGAAGCTATCTCTCCATCACTGTTTAGGATTATGATGCAATATTCAGCCTTGCGGGAATTTGTACTTTAAACCACGGAGAATGGTCAATGAGCAGCTTAACTTCAAGTTCAGTAAAATGTGTTTAATCACATAAGCTCCTATTCTACCAGAACAAAGCCATATATATCAATACCTCAACTTTGTTTAGGCTTTTAGAATAATTCAAGGAGAAAAGCAACAGATAGCTCTAATTATGAACATGTAAATTGATTATAAAAACTACTGTAAACGTACCGGTTAACAAATGTATAACCTGTCATGGAGATAAGATCTTTGATATTATATTTTAAGACAGTAACTGATCTGCTACAAGCTTAGGATCATCACTGAGAAGGTCAGGTGGGGGTCTTTCATTTTCTTTATTTCTTCCAAAACAAACATTTTAATCCCCAAAGGGCAAATACTATTTTCCTTATATTTAAAGACTAATTCTGGCTCTTTTGCTACTTTTGTTCATAACAAAAGAGCTATGTTTGTTTATTATAAAAAAAAGGAACAGTTATACTAATAAACACTTATTTTCTGCATATTTGCCATTATATTTACAATATTAAGTACATGATTTAAACAGATATATATATACACTGAACAAAATTATAAAACACAACACTTTTGTTTTTGCCCCCATTTTTCATGAGCTGAACCCAAAGATCTAAGACTCAAATACTATTCACAAATCTGTCTAAATCTGTGTTAGTGAGCACTTCTCCTTTGCCAAGATAATCCATCCACCTCACAGGTGTGGCTTATCAAGATGCTTATTAGACAGCATGATTATTGCACAGGTGTGCCTTAGGATGGCCACAAGGTCACTCTAAAATGTGTAGTTTTACTGTATTGGGTAGGTCTGAAAACCAGTCAGTATTTGGTGTGACCACCATTTGCCTCACGCAGTGCAGCATATCTCCTTCGCATAGAGTTGACAAAGTTGTTGACTGTGGCCTGTGGAATGTTGGTCCACTCCTATTCAATGGCTGTGCAAGGTTGCTGGATATTGGCAGGACCTGGAGCACGCTGTCGTATACGCCGATCTGGAGCATCCCAAACATGCTCAATGGGTGACATGTCTGATGAGTATGCTTGCCATGCAAGAACTGGGATGTTTTCAGCTTCCAGGAATTGTGTACAGATCCTTGCAACATGGGTGCACAACATGAATGGCACAGCAATGGGCCTCCGGATCTTGTTACACTATCTCTGTGCATTCAAAATGCCAATCAATAAAATGCACCTGTGTTCGTTGACCATAACATACGCCTAC